TTTTAAAGGGTTAGTTCACCCAAAAATGAAAATTAGCCTGTGATGTACTCACCCTCGAGGCATCCTAGGTGTATATGACTTTATTCTTTCTGACGAATCCAATCTGAGTTGTGCAAAGTCGGTGCTTTTTTTCAACAGTCCAGGGACCCGTTGCATAAACTGTTTAGACTAGTCTTAAAAATGTAGTCATCTAATTTTTTTTTTCTTCAAGACTGGTCATAACTTTTTTAATTCAGTTATGAAAAGGTTGATTGTTCTTATTTGTATTGGAAAAGTAAGACTGATTCTTGGCAACTGCTAGTTGGTCAAACTAGTTCTTAAGACACAGTCTTAACATGGTGGCTAAGTTCATGCAACTGGCCCCAGATTTGGAGAAATGTAGCATTGCATCACCTGCTCACCAGTGAATGGGTGCCGTCAGAATGAGAGTCCGAACAGCTGATAAAAACATCACAATAATCCACATGAGTCTAATCTATTAATTATGACTCGTAAACGGTGCTTGATCTGTGCATATTTCTCTCCTGATTCAGACGAGACAACTTTTTCATGGGAGGAAGCACTATTATGGACTAGTATTAGTACTTTGGCCAGATTAATTATGAAATTCAGCTTAATGATGGATTTGTTTCTTACAAACACACAGATTTTTGCATCACAAGACGTTAACTGCTGGACTGGAGTGGTGTGGTTTACTTGTGGATTATTGTGATGTTTTTATCAGCTGTTTGGACTCTCATTCTGACGGCACCCATTCACTGCAGAGAGCAAGTGATGGACTGCTACATTTCTCCAAATCTGATGAAGAAACAAACTCATCTAAATCTTAAATTGTCTAAGGGTGAGTGCATTTTCAGCAAATTTTCATTTCTGGGTGAACTATTCCTTTAAAATGAATCACATCTTGTGAACTTCACAGGGCTCATTTTTATGCCTCGTGTGACAGGTCCATAAATATATTAATATTTCATTAGATGTTACCTCAGGACATAGGTGAGTCCGCCTAAAGGAAGTGTCACATGTGAGACAATTTTTTTTCTACTGATTTTATTCTCAAAAAGAATAAGAACTAGTGCAGCACTTCTGTGTTAAATTATGATACGATATGACGTAACTAACATGGCATTTGGTTTTCATGTGAAATGAAAACCATAAAACAGTAAATGGTATTACAGAGAGAATCCCTGCAGACATGGCATGTGAATACACATAACTGCCAAATACACCACTGCTATTTTCAGATACCTGTCGAAGACACTATAAAATACAGAGAAATAGTGCTTTAAACTGTGTTTGCTATCTTAGAATATACCTCAAAGTCTAATGAGCACTACTAAAAACTATTGAACATTAGGCAGAATATTAATAGAAACAGGGGGTGAACTATTCCTTTAAAATGAATCACATCTTGTGAACTTCACAGGGCTCATTTTTATGCCTCGTGTGACAGGTCCATAAATATATTAATATTTCATTAGATGTTACCTCAGGACATAGGTGAGTACGCCTAAAGGAAGTGTCACATGTGAGACAATTTTTTTTCTACTGACTTTATTCTCAAAAAGAATAAGAACTAGTGCAGCACTTCTGTGTTAAATTATGATACGATATGACGTAACTAACATGGCATTTGGTTTTCATGTGAAATGAAAACCATAAAACAGTAAATGGTATTACAGAGAGAATCCCTGCAGACATGGCATGTGAATACACATAACTGCCAAATACACCACTGCTATTTTCAGATACCTGTCGAAGACACTATAAAATACAGAGAAATAGTGCTTTAAACTGTGTTTGCTATCTTAGAATATACCTCAAAGTCTAATGAGCACTACTAAAAACTATTGAACATTAGGCAGAATATTAATAGAAACAGGTCATTTAACTTATATTGACCTTTAGTGACCCCTCCAATTAGGGTATGTTGTCTCACTATATGTAAAATTTCAGATACATTCAAATAAAACGGTAAAACAATTATAAAACAAAACAAATCATGAACGGACACAAATGTAGAATATAACATGAAAAATATTTCTCAGAAAAATATTTAATAATTATATATAGAAATTTGTAGAAGCTTGTGATTTTCATTGTTAGTTTGTCGGTGTAGTAATATTGTGTTCACTTCTTATGACAAAATAAAATAATAATTTAAATAATAATCATTTTAAAACAAATTATAATGTAATCAAGTGCAAACCACTGCTACATTTTTGGACTGCAGACCTTGTAGTTACTGATATATGGGACTTCCACGTGTGACAACTTGCCCCAGTCTCTCCAATGCAATGCATAAATCACATCATCTGTGTGTGACATGATCTTCATGAGCCCACATTACCACACTGTCATATGAAGCCTCCTACCCTTTTCGACGAGGACATCATCTCATCAGGCTAACAGCTGAAGCAGAGAGGTGAAGGAGCAGAAGTCTGCTTCACAGACAGTCAGTCAGCCAGTGCGCTCGGTCACTCACTTCGCTCTCCGTGCGCGCAGAGGCAGCAGCACAGTACAGCACACACGCGTAACTGATGGAGCAGCTAGACGACGAACTGCTCGGCAACTGCGGCGGAATAACGAGCGAGAGCGAGAGCGAGACCACCATGAGCCTGGAGGAACCGCGTGCTCTGCCATGCTGAGCATCTCCCTCGCGCTCCTGCTGGCTCTGACCGCTCCCTTCCGCTGCGCCCACAGCTGGAGCGACGAGGACCTCCTGCTGCCGCCCATCAACTCCTCCGGGAGACTCCTGGCCAGCCTGGAGGTGGATGTGGGCTACTCCAAGAGATCCGTGGAGGAGCCCGAAGCCTCCTCGCAGTGCAACGTGAGCGTGGAGAGGCTCCCCACCAAACTCGTGGCGCGCTGGGACAGCAACTTCGGCTTCCAGTGCGACGTGCTCATGTACACCACGAACAGCCACGGCAAGGCGTTCTTCTCCGCCGCCTTCAACCGGGCGATCTCGCCGGTCTACATCGAGCACCTGGGCGTCACGGGCGGCCAGCAGGAGTTCAGACTGTGCGTGGGATGCGGTCTGTCCCGGTACCGGAGATTCCGACGGGGCAGGTCAGAGGGTCAGCAGACGGGTGACTCGGTGCACTTCTGCTGCGTGGACTTCGCTCTGGACGAGCTGAAGGGCGACCGGAGCTGGAGGCTCAACCGCAAGCCCATCGAATCCACTCTGGTGGCGTGTTTCATGACTTTAGTCATCATAATATGGAGCGTCGCTGCCCTCATATGGCCAGTTCCCATTATCGCGGGATTTCTGCCCAATGGAATGGAGCAGAGACGGCAGAGGTAATAGAACAGTACAGGATAGAATTCAAATTAGCATCTGTAGGCTAATATAGGATCCTAAACTAGTTGACTTGCCAAACATCCTATGCTTAGTGGCACACGTGTCATACATTTGCTTACTAACCGTACTATTCTCGTGTTTGAAACTGCTATTATAGCTGCATCTCCTGATGGATGGAGGTATCTTATTAGATTTCATTTGTTTTTATAAATGGATTGTAATAGAAATACATTATATCATGTGATATTCAGATGTCATTTCAAATGTTTGTAATGTTTTTATCTTATACGATTTCTAGTTTTTATTTAAAAATACGGAGTAGCTATGTCTCAGGACAAAAAGCTCTTTTAGGATGTGCGCATAAGGACAAGTTGGTTGGTACATTTATACGAAAACATTTGCAGAAATATTCCAATGGTTTTCAAATGTTTGAGGACAGATTTCTTGTGTTTGTATAAATAATAATAAAACGCGATTAGACGTTCTTTAATGTGGAAGACTCGATTATAGCTTGAGAGACAACTTGACAGGCAATCCATTTGTAAAAAATGTGTATAAGGTTTATACTTAATAGATCTGTCATAACTGTTATTTGTAGTATCAATAAATGCATAAAATATTCCTTTGTGGAGGTGTTGTAGCAGAAGAGCCAGACTCACTCTCTCTCTGTTAGTATTTCACATGAAGTATACAAAATCCACAATTAAAAGTAATATAGCAGAAGGCAGCAAACATGCACCAATGGCTCAAATGGAAGATTTCCATGTATTTTATTAAATGCTTGAAAAGTCATATTGTAATTTTGATGAAAGGGTATACAAAAATACATGGACGTTCCTAAAAGGAGAAGAAAAAAAAACATTGAGATAAATAGAAGCCTTTAGCATTATATAGAATTTGCTGTTAGCCCCACAGATTCAATCAGAAATTTATGAAATACAGAGTTTCGTGAAGTTTGCATGTTGCATTCAGGGTAATTAAAATAATCTTTTGACGAGTATGAAGTATCGTGAGATGGTGCATACCCAACTGTGCACAAATCAGAGAAACGGCCTAAAGACGAGTTTGAAAAAAAACTAGAAAAAAGTGTAAGGTTGTGGAAAACACTTTGTGTGGAAATGAATACACAAATACACATGTGAAGATGTCATTTGGTGGCACTGATTCAGATGAAAGATGACTTCTTTTCTAGCAATCACCATTCCAGGGTTATTAGCTAAGATGTGAAATTGCTTATTAGTACACAGCAGAGGTGTAAAGAGTACCTAAAAACCATACTTGAGTAAAAGCAGCCTCATGTACGCTACCTTGAATCAGAATACAGGTTGATTGAAATGAAATGAAATGATTGAAATGACCGGAAAACATGTGTCCCGATCAACCTGAATTCATGCCAAACGTCTGAAATTTTGAATTTTTTGTTGATTTGTACAACTGATTTTCATAATTTTGGTTAGCACTTGTCCTGAAGAAGATACACCATTTTTTTTCTTTATCAAACTGTTGCAGAATTTTAATAGATTTTAGCGCCCCCTATTGACAGATTGTGACGTCATTTGGTGTGCATCTATGGCAAGCCGTTTTGACTTTTGTCTATGGGTATCATGTTTCATTAAGTTTTGGATTGCATTGAGAGAATATGTAAAAAAAAAAAAAAAAAAAAAAAAAAAAAAAAAAAAAAAATGGCGGATTGCATTGAGAGAAAAAGTAAAAAAAAAAAAAAAAAAGTCAAAATGGCCGATGCCAGACTTTTTTACGCTTTGATAATATTCTTTTGATAACATTCTAAATAAGACATTATTAAAATGAAATAATGCCAATGGAGGGAGCAGGAATGAATAAAAACATAGTTTACATACATTACGTGAGATAACAAATGCCCTTGGAATCACTGCCACAACTGTAATCATAATTCAACTCTGAACTGTAAGGATTATTATCTTGTTGCATGCATGAATTAAGGAAAGCTGTGCTGGAACTGACCTCTATAATGACCTTTATTTCTGCCGTGACTCTCTTATAGTCCAGCTCTGCCTGAACAAACATCATCTCCACTGATACTTCTAAAAGAGCGACATAAAGGTTTTAGAATAGGCTACATGTGTGCAAACGGATAAACTGATAATGTCCCACAGCGCCTCCCACAGGACAACTGTAGCTTAAAGTGGTGTGTTTCCAGAGCCTTTAGTTCATCTCAGTCCAAACTAAACTAAGTATGAACTTCTAAGAATGTTAAAGGGCATTAATTTGAGTGAATGTATGTTTTCTACCTTTCAAATGCATTTGATGTGTTTTGATAGTATTGTCCACTGCATTCACTACCACCATATAATGCCTTTTTTCTAGAGAATAGTCAAAATAATTTTTTGTGGAAATCAACATTACGCACCAAGATAGTTGTTGCTACTAGCTGGTGTCTCTTACTTTCCCATTTGCATGGTCTCGAAAAATATTGGCTTTTATTGCTCATTTCATTGCATTTAGCAGAAAATATTACAAGTGCCAACTTCTTGAATAAAAAGACAAACACTAAACAGGCTTATGAATTTACCTTGTTCTAGATCATTATCTAAATACTGTGAGAGAATCGGTGTTTTTTAAAGGTGAATTATAGCTCTTTGTTCATTTGTTTAATGTCAAGAAGGCTGGCAAAGATATTTCCATGTTAACACACTTGAAGCGTTTTCAAAAAACGCTTTTTAAAAAATGTACATTGTTCTGGGAAAAGAAAAGGGTCTCTTAAGTAACCTATACTGACCAGCACTTAGGCCTACCTGTTTTGATGAATGAGGTTATAAAATTTGAGGCGGGACTAACACACTTAGTTGCGTTACTACACGCTGTTTACACGATAAGTAGGTAAATTAGTCTGCTTGCACGTCGTTTTATTCTCTAGTTTACGTTTTTTAGGTGACACGAGGTCGTTTTTAGGTGTTCTTTAACAATTTTCACGCTTAGGCGGCATGGATGACTAACGTCTGTCGCAAACCAGGAAGCCGCTTTCTTTTCTCTGAAGAACACTGAAGACTAATATCTACTGTCGATGGCGCATTCTTACATTTTTAGCCCACTGTAAGGAGTTTTAATATTAAAAAGCCATGCCAATTTGGCGGTTCACGTGCTTTTCACTCTTTTTTGGGTTTTTCCTGTCGTCAGTCCCGGAGCTCACAGGTAACAGCCAGACCCACACATGCAACACTTACCTGCACAGGTATTAGCCTAGGCTACATCGATTTGATGTCCGGTAAATTAGGATTAATCTGTACCTCTTCTCAAATTTAAACGTAAATCGAAATCGACTGTTAAATTAGCCTACACCGTTTTTAAGGAAATGATCTTGAAATGGTTCCAGTTTACACAATTTGCTTTGATCTTTGGTCAGTATTTTAGTCATTTTTAAATGTCTTTTCACGTCAGAAATGAATTATAGCTTCGCTAAAATACAGGTTAACCGTGTGCTCCATCTCCTGAGATTAAAAAAAGTGCCAGCAGGGTGTTGGATTTGTTGATTTATTGGATTTATATTGACTAATGACACATTTCACTGGATGTTTCAAGCTCTTTTCCATACAGACACACACACACACACACACACACAAAACACATTCAACACCTAACAGCATTTAACTGCTGTTTTTTGGGGTGCTCAAACTGCATTATTTTTTGTGCTTTTATAAGTAATTGTAGGCTATAATTTTGCAAGTTATTGTACTAAATTGTAGTTGGATTATTTTAATTAATTTAAATAAATTTTTTTGTATTTTTATTTCATGTTACTAAATTTCCACTTTAACCACTTTTTGAGCAACAACCTGAAAATTTAATATCCAACTTAAATAGCCATAAATCTCGAACACGTTGGAACACAGATGGTGTCTTTTCAAAGAAGACACTTGGAATATTATTGCTGAAGTAAAAAAAAAAAATTGTTACAAAAAAATACACAAAAATAGTATTTTCAAATTTTATATTAAATATATATATCTTCCAAAACAAATTGAACTCAAACTGAGGAATTAAAAAAATGTATGTGAGGTTGATATTAAAAAAACAAAAAAATTTCTATAATTTTGTCACTCATTATGTGAAAAGAGCTAAAGGTTACAGTGGTTAAATTGTCTAAAATAGATACTTTTTTCCTTGTATAGTCCTGCAGTTTAACCTAACATTTTGATGTTAAAAGTCTGTGCATCATTTCAGGTAGTGCAGAGCTCAATATTGCTGTTGAACTGGGCACAATCATACGCATTAATACTAGTGCTCACACAAATACAAAGTGCAAAGTTTGCATCAGACAGGACACACAACAGCTGTGCCAGTCATCTGTGGTCCTCAGAAGTGACACGCTTTTGGATTTCAGCTGCTCACAGCCAGAGAATGTATTCACCGTACAGATCATCAGAGATAATGGTGAGAACTGTCAGATAAAAAAAAAAAAAACTTTTTATTCTTTACATTTTCATTTATACATTGTGTATGTATGTGTGTGTGTGTATATATATATATATACACACACTACCGGTCAAAAGTTTGGGATCAGAATGATTTT